GGTACAGGCAATCCGCGCGTCTGCAACAGCTCAGTGATTTTGTCTAGGGCATGACCTGGGCCAGAACAAACACAGAGCTAAAAACAAAAAAGTTCAAAAATGCATAGGGACAAGAAGAAAATATATAATGTCTTCACATCAATGCAAGGGACACAAAACTGTGCACTGACAGTTTGAATCTTTCTTGAGGTTGCAGTCCCCGAGAAAAAAGGATTCTGACAGACCATAGGTCACGACCAAGACGTTGTGCAGAGTGGGCCTCCACATCTGCTCCCACTGTTTGGTCAAGGTGGTATGCCTTGGCAACTTGTACTTGCATTCATCCACGCCGTCCAGCGCAATGAAAAGCATCCGGTTTTCAAAGGGCAAACTGGTCTCAGGCGACACACTCCAAACACTCTGGTTTGCATAATGGGATGCCACAGCACGGTCAGCCCAAACACCCCTCAAATGCTCCCTGTAAGCACTTTGTACTTCATCCCGGGCAGTCTCAGTCGCTGCCTTTGACCGGTGAAGTTTGTACTTCACACAGTCATCGCATTTGGCACGCTGATTTGTCCTCCTCACCCTCAATGTCCCCCTCCATTCTTTGAAGACGGCGTAGAAGACTGATTGGCTTGTAGGTTCTGGAAGATCAGGACTGCCGGTGAACTGATCTACATACTGCTGGTACAAATCCGCTGGCTTGCAATGTGGAAGCCAGTGTTGTGGCCTCCCTTCCTGAAAGTCAGGTGCTCCAGCTGTGTGTCCCACCCCCATGACCCATTCATAGAACTCATCACTGACTGGAGCGTCCTGTTCTGACTCACCTTCAAGCTTGGTTTCTGCTAGAGGTTCAGCCAAGTTCTCATAAGCCCACTCAAGCCATGAATTCACAGAGCTGACCTGCGGCTTGTCCCGGACTTCACGGAGGGAGCGTCCATCTGGAGGGGCTGTGGTGGCCCCACCCTTGATGGCTTGCATCAAGCCACGCGCAAAGTTCCTGCTAGCATTGCAAAGAGTGAGAAAGGCTTCAAAGCAAACAGCGTGCCCCCTGAACTTGAACTGGCGGATGTCACCAAACTGACCAGTCTGCTCATCCACAGCCATCTTGCGGAGAAGGTCAAAGAAGAAGTTTCTGCGGTCACCATGACTCAGCCCATCAAGCGTTGTGTGCAACTTCTCAACCTCTGCTCGCTCATTTGGTTGGCGGAAGATGTCCAAGCAACACTTCTTGCACGGGCAGTCTCGGTCTAACCACCTGCAAGTGATTTCTTGAACCCAACTTGTGGGCTACAAACTGACTGGTCGAGATTAGTTTTGAAGGTGTGCATGAACTCGTTTGAATCTTGGGGGAATCTTGGGGTAACCAAGCTCACCCTCTAAACACAAACACCCAGGGCCTTGCACAAGTCAGATCTGGCAAGCTCGCATCGCCAGGCAAGCGTAACGGTGCTTCAATCGGCTTTGGCACTGGCACCACAGCAACGCCAAACAAGTCTGCTGATGAAAGGCCACAATCATCAGGAGGCAGCTCAACACTCATTGCGCTAGTCTTCTTACAACCTTTGATCTATCAGTCGTCTCTTCCTAGGCCCAAATGAGCTTCAGAGCTGCTAGGTGAGCGCATGGTAATTGGACATTTATCTGACTATTCCAAAAACACTGTTGGAAGGTTCTTTGATCATATTCATATGCGCTCTGCACTGCTTTGGTAAAAAATGATCAGTCTGGGGTTCCAAGCTGGCCAACACCAAGCAGAACACAATCTGCAGGAAGGGAACCTTGGCGGCGCATCGGAAAACAGCGGTGTCAGAGAACTGTGAAGAGGGGAAAGGGTGTACACACGCATGCAAATAACAAAAACAGGCCACATCATGAAGGATTTTGGTCATGGACATTTGCCAACATGTTTGTATGGTTTTCTATGTGTTTTGTTTGTTTTATGCTCCCAAACTCTAACAAACCACACACACATGCTGATACATATGCCCAACCCAGCTCCTCAAAAAATGTGACACTATTGAACAGTTCAACTTTTGGCGCTTGCTTCAGTGCGAGAACAAACGGCATAGCTTGGTGCCCAGGCCACACAGCAAGTTCTGAATGCACTCCTCCAACTCGACAACGCCATGGCCTGTGTGAGCAGGACATGTGTATCTGACCACACTATTGATTGGCAAAGAACATGGAGGTACCAATTAGGTGGGCTGTGGAAACAAGTTGGACACAAGTGTCTTGAAACTCTGGTGTGGGCACAAGTTGGCTCCCAAGTTGCCGTGCCTCAAGGAAATGGGCATGAAGCACGGCTTGTTGTCATAGTACACCTTGTTCTGCCTCACGCCAAATTCATTGGCCTACTTAGTGCAGCGATTGCATGGAAACAATGACCATGGAGTTTCATCAAGTCTCAAAGTCTCAAATCAGGACCATGACAAAGTCTTTAGGCGATGACTCAAACCTTGGCCCCAGACCCCAAGTCAAAGCGCAAAGGGTGGGAGCCATAGACGGTGGGCACTGAAACCGGTCTGCCTTGATGTGGTAACGTAATTGTTGCGTTAAGAAGAGGGCTTTTAAAACCATATTACGCTTCTAATTTGCTGATGGGTTAGAACACCAATTTGGGGGGCTTTGAAACTTGCATGGTCTGTTTATGCCACGTTGTGGGGAAGGGTCACCACTGTTGGTTTCTTGGAGGTTAAACTCTGCCGTTTCTGCTGCCAAAGAACCACCACTATTGGGTGGTAAACGTGTGTGTGGCAAGGCTTCCATTCCAAAATGAAAGCCTGTGATGTGAAGCTTCACGGACACACGCAGCAAAACAATTCTCAAAACAAAGCGCCTAAAGAAAAGCCGTGTCCAATGGTCCAAAAAGCTTGTTTCCTCTGGCGTTTTCCCCGAGGTCTTGTTTTTCCCCATGTTTCTTCATGGTTTTTGGCTTCTGTTTTGAGTTCTGGAACCTCGCTGGAAACAGAACCCAGTGCATTATCTGCATCATCTCACCCTACCTATTCTCTCACTCACCCTACCTATTCTCTCACTCTCAGCTCTCCACCATCACCTCTTTGCGCCCTAGATCTCAAAACTTTCTGCTGCTCCACCATCACCACGATCTCCACCTTCATCACCACCATCACCTCTCTGGGCCCTAGATCTCTAGACTTTCTGCTGCCCCACAATCACCATGATCTCCCACTTCATCAGCATCATCACCTCTCTGGTCTGGCAATTTTCCTCTTGGGTTGGGTAGGGGCAGGGCGACGATGCAAGAAATGGGCCAGGATCCAGGCAAACTTCATTGTTTGCCTGTGTCTCCAAATCAATGCCAAATTTGGAGCCGCCATTTCTCATCATGGCCCCATGGCTGGCCCCAACCCTAGCCAACCCAAGAGGAAACCCTACATCTCTAGACTTTTTGCTGCTACACCTCTAGCCCTCCCACACACTGTTTGGGGTCCCTTTCTTCTTCTTTACTGCTTTGCTGCCACTTTTCATCAGCATCCATTGCTGCTTATCACACTTTTCCCAAGGGCCTTTTACAAAAGTAAAAGGACCAATTACAACAACAAAGGTTTACGATCTCCGCAAAGGGTTGCGCGCGCCGCGAATCGCACTCTCACCTGCGTTTCGCACACTCCAAACGCACAATCTCCGCAGAGGGTTGCGCGCGCATGGGGTAAATCGCACTCTCCCCTGCATTTCGCGCACTCGACACGCACGATCTCCGCAGAGGGTTGCGCGCGCATGGGACAAATAGCACTCTCGCCTGCATTTCGCGCACTCGACCCGCACGATCTCCGCAGAGGGTTGCGCGCGCCGCGGACAAATCGCACTCTCGCCTGCATTTCGCGCACTCGACACGCACGATCTCCGCAGAGGGTTGCGCGCACATGCAACAAATCGCTCTCGCCTTCATTTCGCGCACTCACACGCACGATCTCCGCAGAGGGTTGCGCGCGCCGATGACAAATCGCACTCTCGCCTGCATTTCGCGCACTCGACACGCGCGATCTCGGCAGAGGGTTGCGCGCGCCGATGACAAATCGCACTCTCGTCTGCATTTCGCGCACTCGACACGCACGATCTCCGCACAGGGTTGCGCGCACACCGGACAAATCGCACTCTCGCCTGCATTTCGTGCCCTCGACACGCACGATCTCCGCAGAGGGTTGCATTTTCGGTTGACGCTGTTCGTCCCACCCTCTGCCTTGAAAGAGAATTTATAAAGTGGGGAAATGTTTTTCATTAGGACATCTCCCGTGCGAGTTTTCATCAATACGCATCAATACTCACACTTGCAAACTTGCACTGGGATGCTTACACTTGCATACTTGCACTTGGATACTTACATTTAATTGCATACTTGCACTTGGATGCTTTCACTCTTACACTTACACTGGGGATACTTCTGTGCCATTGCGCGTATAGAAGTGTAAGTGTTCAAGTGTAAGTGTAGAAGCGTAAGTGTTCAAGTGTAAGTGTAGAAGTGTCAGTGTTCAAGTGTAAGTGTAGAAGTGTCAGTGTTCAAGAGATTTTCCGGAAGAGCCCTTCGCAATGCTTTCGGGCAAATTGCACTCTTGAATTTCCCAGGACACTGCTTTAAGGGCCAAGTCCACCACCACTCGAGAAATGGATTCCGGTGAAATAGTGTCCTCAACGATCCTCAGCCTGCCAACCAACGAACAATGTTGAAGCGCTGCACGGCAACAATCACAGTTCAACTCCAGCTCCAATAGGGGTCAGCGCACAAGGCAAATGGCACACCTACTGGAGCTCTTGTGGCTCCGCTACCAGTGCAAAGAACAAAAGGCAACAGCCGAGCACTTTTGCTCACTCACGCCTAAAGCTCAAGGCCTACGGACGTTCGAACTTGTGACCACCTTCAAGGGAACCTGTTACGTTCCGTGTGACCACCAAAGCAAGGCCCACACATGACCATCTCATGAGCACGCAGGCTTTTCCTGACAAAATATATGCATATATAATATATATTTATTATAGCGCGTTCGTTTAGCAAGAGCCTGGATTGCAGGCCGTCGAGCAACAAACCTGAAGGCAACAACACGACTCCAAATCAACTACAGTATCTGCTGCGATTCTGCTGAACTTGACTGCTCACCTTGCTTCACATTGAAACTGAGGAGAAGGCTGCACCACAGAACTCAGACCTCAAAGCATCAAAGTGAGTTGACTGCAAACAAATAGAAGTCCTGACTGCAGTCTAAAAGAACAGAACTGTGTAATAGCGGCAAGCAGTCAATGAAATGACAGGTCTGCAGGGATCGGGCCAGTGTGATATCGCCCTTCTTCAACAGGACGCTCTACTTCTCTGCAAAGAAGCACCTCAAGGCATCACAAACCCTTCAGTCCATACCCCGCTACCGTTGTGCATTGTAGTGCCTCCAAGGTCTTGAAATCCTCCTGCAGCAGCTCTACTGTGACCTGTGCGTGCTGGGACAGTTTGACCCGCGCGTCACTTGTCAACACAGCTCCTCAGGAGGATGCGAGGCGCTCTTCATCAGGAGGTCCTCCTGTGTTGTATTTGAGCCTGACAAGTAGCATCTCTGTTGGATTCACCTCGGTACATTCTACTGAGTGAAGGGCTGTTTGGGGGAGAAGGCCTCTATCAGGAGCATTCCTTGACACTCTCCAAAGGACAACGACTGCAGTCTCTTTAAAAGGATGCTTGCAAATGCATATGTATAAAACACTTCAAGCCTCCATCTCGGAGGGAGTTGGCAGTTGCTTGGTGTATCTGCACAAAAGCAGAGTAATTGAGATCTGTCAACACAAGTGCAAAGATTCTTTTGAGTTCATGATTGCAACCATGCCTTTGCACGCACTGCAAACGGCAAATGGCAGAATATAGACACAATGAGATCCCAACCTCGAGTTTTACACTTGTCCAATCCACTCGGAACAACAAAAGTTGAAAATACAAAATGACCTATTTATGTTTACGCGCCAGGCATTCCACGCCAAAGTCGAACTCTGCAAGGTCTGCGGCCACCTAATACAGAGGCGATTTTTCATCCCACTAGTTTTCCAGTCAGAAAATTCCCCACAAAAAACTAAAACTGTGGTGACCACCGTTTTTATCTTGACACCTCGCTCTTCAGCCAGTCGGCGTGCCTTCACAGAATTGGCACAAAGAATCAAACATTCAAAACAGAACTATGGCAGAAGTGGATCGAAAATTTTAACCAAATATACCGGCAGTCAATCCTGTCTGCTCAAACCCATCTTGGCCACAGCGACCAGCGACCACATCCGCATCCCAACACATCTGGATGTTGTCAGTCACAAAACTGCTAAAGAACATACTGTTTCCATCGTTTTCCAACATGTTTTCACATACCGTGTTCACTAACATTTGTGTATATCCTCTGTGCCTCAGTCTTTGTCACAAAAACATCCACTGCACGTCAGAGAAATATTGCTGGAAAACATTTTGCTGGAAAATGAACCCAGTTCTGGTGGGCAATGGTAGAATCATAGCCTGCAAGTAGCGTTGTGTAATGGAGGGTAGTGGACTGCCAACCTGATGGTAGTGCAAGTGGAGGTGATTGCAACCAAGAGAGGATCTTGCAAGGTCGGGTGTGGGGCATCCATGTACAGGCTTGGTTTACCGCTTTGCCCAGCAGGGCTTCAGCGGCTGCTCGTCGCAAGTGTTGGACATGTGTTTGGCCGACATGTGGCCACATGGAGGTCCGTCATGGGCCTCACTCAACTCCGCAAGCTTCTCCTGCAGCTCTTCCAGCTTGTCGTCAGGGGGAAGGATGGTGCCGGCCAGCGCATCATCCACACGGCCTGCATTTTCAAGCACTGCCTCCTCAACCAGGCAGAGTTCCTTGTCGCGGGTGTCCGCCTCGAGGGTTCGATGGTGAAGGCGGTCACTGTCTTCGCTCCGTCCAAAATGGACCAATCGAAGAACTCTCCAAATTGCCAGTTCCTGCCATGGCGATCAAATAGGAGAGTGGGAGAGCGGATGCGAAACTCGTTCTTCACTTGAATGCAGACTTGAGCCAAAATGGCAAGGCATTTTGGCTAATGAAATGTACTAAGGAAACAAAACCTGCTTTCCGCAGGTTCCAAGCACGTTCAAAACTATACCAAAATGCACCACAATTTCGTGCACCATATCATGCAAATGATGCCAATGTGCCAATCTCACTTGAAGGGATTGCACGTTTCGAACCGCCACCAGCGCAAGTTGCAATTTATCCTGAGCTCTCTTGTGAAATACGTAAAGTGATCAGTACTAAATACGCAAATGTATCATGCCATCAATATCATCAATAGAAAGAAGTCACTCAATTTGATTCACTTGCCTGGCAACATACCATGAGTGTCGAAAGCTAGCTGCATGAGTCTCACTTGGGCTATTTTTGGTTTTGTACAGGGGGTTCTTCTTCGGATCACGAGGGGGTTCGCGTGATCCTTCTTTTGTTCCGCTATCTGTGAATAGTTTTCTCGATACGTTATTTACACACGGCCGACAAGGGATGTGGGGGTATGGACGTGGACCGGAGTCGCTGCGTAAAAAGTTGACCCTGGGCCACAGCTCAAAACATACCACAGCTCTTCACCTCACCAAGTACCACATTGCCACCAGCAAGAATTGACCACTTCACCACAGTGTGACCACATCGCTTCGTAGCAAACTCGCCACTTCACTGACCTAAAGGGAGTGCCAGTACCACCCGACTCCATAAAACTAACGACGACATCCTGCACAGTCAATACAATGACGGCCTACCCCTTCACCAAATCTCCCAACCTTGCTGGTCCCAGCCTCCTCCCGCAACCTACAATCACAAACAAACCTAGCGCAACCTCCCTAGTCCCCCTTGCCACGCTTGGTCGCTTCCGCTCCCGACCTCATCCGACTTCCACAAAAAGCAACATCTCCCAATGCATCAACCCCACTCCCACTGGGTGTCTAAATCCTTGCTCGCTTTTACCCTAGCATTAGTTAGGGATGGTCATGGCGTAAGCACATGTCACATTTCATGTCAGTTGCCCCTGTGTCAGTCGAACATCCCAATCTAGCTGTGTCAGTTCGAAGAGTCTGTCCCGTATCAAGTCTTTCACTCTGTCTCTCTTGGCCTTGGAGAGCCCGACTTTGGAGATGTCAATGGCGGTCACCGAAAGACCTCAACTTGAGCGCACCACGCCCTCTAAGATTTTGTCGCACACAAGGGCTCAAGTTCGCTAAGCCAATGACCCCGACTGGCCAAATACACAGCATTGCGCCCCTGACGGAACAGAGACAAAAGAGAGAAAGAGAGAGAGAGAGAGAGAACCAAGATGTCCTAAAAACTTGAGAACCAAATCATTAGTGCGAGCGCTTCTTCAAGGAAGCTCACCCTGCCCTCAGGTGGGGTGAGCTTCCTTGAAGAAGCGTGAGCTATCTTGCATCCAAGTGTAGTAGCTTGAGTAGCTAGTAGCTTACTCCCTTATTTAATTTAGTAGGTGCCTACTTAATTAAGGAAGGGCGGGCTTTAAAAACAAAGCTGTTCACAAGTTGCTTTTGGATTACACTGCAATAAAGCAGAAAGAAAAGAAACTTTACTCAGCTTCTGATTTCGACTCATTACTCCGGGGAGGACAAGTTGTGCCGGTCTGCCACAGGCCATATCTGGCATTGCACAATTGCCACGTGACAGGCACAAGGCACTCAAGACACAAGTTATTCAACGGCTTCTTTGCTCTTGCAAATCGGTCCAAGACTCATTCAAAGCTGCTCTCAGACAACTGGTGCAGGATGATTGCCAAAGTATGCACTTAAAGACTCCTCGAATTATGTGAAGCTTTCATGCCAACCATGGGTTTGACCAGCAACTTGAATTGTTTGCTGAGGGGTATGGAGTAATGTAGCCTCGCTCGAGATGGATGGCAAAACATCGATAGGGGGCCAAGGTTGCGGGATTCTTGGAGGTGAATGGTGACATAGGTGAACAACACACAGGTGAGGGTTTTGTCGGCTCTCTATTGGTAGAGGCAGAAAGAGGAAATGCATTAAGCAGGCAATGCAAATAGAGCTGCTCGTTCATGACCGTTCTTTACTTCCAAGAAAGCTTGGCACAGCCAATCCCACGATCATATGGGACCATGAGTTTCGAGAGGTCGCATTCTTCGCATATCTGGAGTTGCATCATTTCTACTGTTAAAGGCAACAGCATGTTTGGACCGTTCGAGGAGGGGTCTGAGCAGGTTGGGTAATGAAAAAAGTAAAGCAATGAAAAAATGTGCCTCAATCAATATTCATGAAAGCACGTAAATATTCTCACCAGAGTGTCAATTCGTCCAAATATATCTTCAATATGTTGGACACCATCTTTCAAAGTTATCGTTGTTCTGCTCTAATTGTTTTGCAGCGTTTTGGCAATGTGCAACATGTCTTATTGTTTCGTGGGTGGTCACAGCGTGTGACACCTCCAGTTTCTTTCCACACTCTTGGTAACATTACTGTCAACCTGCAAATTTATCCCCAAGGCATTTTCTAAATTCAAGCTCGCTGTTCAGGAACTCTTATTGTAAAACTGTGAGCAGGTGATCACAAATAGGGTTCTCTACGCAAAAAGTTCCATATCTTCTGAAAGGTTATCGCCTGTCTTTGTGTTCATTTCGCTATCGTTCTGAGGAGCTGAACTAGACGGACACTCAATGAGCAAGCGAACAGCCAAGGGCCAAGGGAATGAATCAACAAATCACGCTGATGTGTTTTTTTCATATGTGGTTTTGTTCAGGCTTTGAAGCAATTCTGGAAAGTAGAGACCTGCAAAATGGGGGGCAGGGGTTCTATACAACCTCTCGTGTGTTCTTGCACTCCCGATTGACGTTCAAAGGATCCTAACGCAAAGAACCACCAATGTAATCAAAGGAGGTTTAGTGTGCAAAACGTCCGTGTTACGGACTTTCAAAAGCTATTACTACGACATATAACATACACCACCACCACCACCACGACTACTACTACTACTACTATTACTACTGCTTCTACTGCTACTACCGCTACTACTACTCCTCCTCCTACTACTACTCCTCCAGTCAGCTCTAGCTTTGGTTAGCTCTAACTCCAGTCATCAGCTCTTCAACATGCACTTTGGAAGGAAGTCTCGTACAAAATGCATGTTCGAGAGATAGCGGACGCACGAAATGCTGCATTTTTCGAAACAAAGGGTGGTTCCGAACCTGGCAAGGCTAGCTCTGCGGAACGACGGTTGCGGAATGGCCTCGCGTCATGCTCGGATCATGGTCGGATCATGCTCGAATCGTCCCTCCATTGTGATTAGAGTTTTCACTTGTTTCTTGAAGCGCAGATTTCGTGGCAGGTACAGCACCTTGTGAACCTCGAAGTGCAGATTTCGTGGCAGGCACTGCGCTGTGTGAACCTCGCAGCGCAGATTGCGTGGCAGGCGCACCACTTGGTGAACCTCGAAGTGCAGATTTCGTGGCAGGGACAGCACTTGGTGAACCTCGAAGTGCAGATTTCGTGGCAGGCGCAGCACTTAGTGAACCTCGAAGTGCAGATTTCGTGGCAGGCGCAGCACTTAGCGAGCCTCGAAGTGGCAGGCGCAGTATTTTGTGAACCTCGAAGTGCAGATTTCGTGGCAGGCGCAGTACTTTGGCACAAATGTATGTAGTACGGGAAAGAGCTTTTCGGAGCTGGACTTAGAAGTGGCCAGTTTGTAGTACAAATGTAGTACGGGAAAGAGCTTTTCAGAGCTGGACTCAGAAGTTGCCAGCTTGTATAGTACAAATGTAGTACGGGAAAGAGCTTTTCGGAGCTGGACTCAGAAGTGGCCAATTTGTAGTACAAATGTAGTACGCGAAACAGCGTTGCGGAGCTGGACTCAGAAATGTTTGCTTTTAGTCTGTGACAGAAAGCATGGCGAAATTACGTCCGTGATGTCGCTGCGCCATGCGGATTTGCGCGGCCTTGGTGGAAAGTGCGTTTGCGTGGCGCCCTGCCACTGGGGAGCGCGAAACATGCTGGTGTAAACGCGGCATGTCGCTGGTGAGCGGGATGATTGGCGGTATCATGTGATATGTTTGCTTCGAGTGACCGTGCAGTGAAAGTACGCTCGTGATGTCGCAGCGCCATGCGGATTTGCGCGGCCTTGGTTAGGAGTGCGTTTGCGTGGCGCCGTGCCACTGGGGAGCGCGAAACATGCTGATGTAAACGCGGCGTGTCGCTGGTGAGCGGGATGATTGGTGGTATCATGTGATATGTGTGCTTCTAGTGACCGTGTGGTGAAATTACGTTCGTGATGCCGCAGTGCCATGCGGATTTGCATGGCCTTGGTGGGAAGTGCGTTTGCGTGGCGCCGTGCCACTGGGGAGCGCAAGTCATGCTGGTGTAAACGTGGCGTGTCGCTGGTGAGCGGGATGATTGGTGGTTATACCGACAAACAGTTCATCCCTCAGTATCGTTTTCGTTTGCAGCCCTTTCGTTATAATGCCTGCTACTTTGCTTTCGGGCCACCCTGTCGTCTAGTTTGTTAACAGGTCAGCTTGTACTTATGGTTGAAGTTTTTGGCGCAGTTCATACTTAGTCTTTGGTTGCCTTCATTGTTAAGACTCTGGTTGCGCATGTATGACAGGTTGTGCATGCAAGTTCGGAGTCCTGTGTAACTACATTCACTCCGACGTGCGTGGTGTGACCCGCATGCACAGTGCCAGAGCGACTACGCCGTTGTGGGCTGCTCGCATGACGCCATCGTTGCGGGCCGGGAAAAAGGGGGTCCGCAGGGGGGGGCAGGGACACTCCTATAGGTCAAATTGTTTCTATAGGAAACTTCCGCCGCCGGCTTGCCCGGGAACTGCTTGAATAATATGGATGCCTGCCAACTACAACACTGAAGATTGGATAATCAAGAGTTGTCACTTGCTTAAAAGTCTTACACGGATGGAAGTCAGCTAGCTACAGAAATCTCGAACTTGGAAGCGTCATGGTGTCGTTGAACGAGCCTCCCCTTCGCCTAGCAATAAGGTCTTGCCGCTCGTTGGTAGCCTGAGACAAGACCCTAAAAGGAAGAAATAAAGATAAGGAATAACACATCTGAGGCCCCAACAAGCTAATGTTCTCCAGAAGGAACGTGTTGGGGTCCTTCACAGCATCATCATCCGTTTGGCAGCTTGGATATTGCTATCACAATACACATTCAAAAGTCTTAGTACCCGTCCGTGCCGTATGCAAAACCTTGCCTGCAACATCAGAAGCAATAGAGTCAAAGCATCTGAGAAACAAGAGCAAGCGGACTCACTGATGATACCATCAAACCATGAAAGAGTGCAAGGCCCACTTTGAATATCTTCGGTCCCACAAGTCTGCCGTCATTGGCTGCCGCTCTGCCTGTGCATGGATCAGAACCAACAAACAAAATGGATGCCTCCAGGTCCAGATCTGTCGAAGATCCCTGAAGCACCTGGCGCTTGCCGCTTTCGGCCATGCTGCCTGGTGAATGAGCACAGGTCTGCCCCTGGCAAGCACGACTTGCGCGCACCGTTCCTTGCTGCAATTAACTCAAATTATTTGCGCAAAACAAATTGCAACATGATTGGCCAGTTGACCAAAGTCCGGGCAAGCAACTGGAGGACTACAATAGCGCCTGAAAAGAGTGACTAAATGCCTCCAAAGACACCCAAATCCTGTAAATAAATAACTTCAGCCTTGCCTACCGGCTGGCTTCCGTAATTATCATGACTCTGGCCTGCGCTTAAGTTATCAGGAGCTTGAGCTTGAGGTTGATTTTCATAGTTTCATACTTTCGTACGAGTGCTCTGGAATCCGTCATTGCTCTTTTCAACACGTGCTGGGGTGTGAGATCTGAAAACAAATGCTTCAAAGTTTACAAAGATCTATATAGGCTGAATCGCTTTGCAAAAAGGTCAAAGTATATATAGTATGTATAGTAGAGTGTGTTTTTGACTTCCTGATTTTCTCCTGGTGAATCCCTGTGTTGTGTGTTTACTTTCTGGTGTGGACTGATGACAAAGTCATCTAATGAGCATAGCAGGCATAGAATTGTGGTTTGTGACTGCAACCGGGCAATTACAAGGATCTTGGAGCCAATCCAGGCTGCGGCCGATTTTGCACTTGCTCCTTTGAAGATTCTTTGCAAAAAGGTCAGTTCTCAAGGACAGCATGTGAGGGAAGTGCGACAGCTGGCACCTCACGAGAAGTCCATGCATCCAAAGCAGCATATTCAATCTGCGCCTTGGGATTCTTGGGATGAATAAAGAAGGGAAGGGCCAGTGAAACAAGGGCCCTTGCCCTTACTTTCTGTTGTTCATCTCTTTGACAAATGCAGAATAATTGGACTTGTAGAAGGCCGCAACAAAATGCAACTCTAAAGGAATCCTTCTGCAAACAATTCCCGCGCGATGGCCTGTGTCAAAGAACTTTGCTGCCAATCTGTAAGTCGTTGATCCTGAGCCCCAAGGCTTATCCACGCTATGTCTCTGAATGTTACTGCTCTGCAAATGTAACTTTGTGCCTTGGCTTGCTGTCTTTGTTTTAACTAACGCTTATATTCCGAAATGCTGTACAAGATTGAGGGCAGCAGAATCTAACATTAAAAAAGGATATCTGGGAAGCATGGCAGCCCTGCCTTGTTAAGCCGCTTCTGCAAAAAAATTGCAGCCAGCCCTTGCAATGATCTGGGCCTGGGTTGTCTTCATTTGCAGCTTTGCATCCGTGGTTGAGTCCAAGTCGGCACGTGGCTCTTCAGAGGCTCCCACGTTGTTTTCAAATGTAAGGCAATGTGATGGAGGTCAATGAAAGACTGGAGGTGATTGTACATTCCATGGGCAACTGGATAATGGGCTATATCATGTCTGACTTGTAGACACTTGAACTAGCTGATACAAGCTCACTAAGTTTAACGGTTTATATAGCTAAGTTGAACGTCAGTGACAAATCTCCTGGGGGCTGATTCCAAATTGGTCTTTCAGGACATTGATCTCGTTCACGGCCCCCTGGGAGACCTCAGTAGTCCACGGGAGGGTCTGGGATCTGTGAGAGCTGGTTCGGGACTGGAAGGCATTGTAAGGCCACGGTCCGGGCGTTTCAAATCTGCTATATGCATAGCTTTCAACAACAATGTTCCGTTGATGGTTCAAAAAGGAAATCCTTTTTTCAGGGTGTTCCAATCTAGCACTGGGGCTTGGTGCAGACTCTGAAACATCCATTGTGGGCTCCAAGTTTGTTCGAGCTGGACCACCTGAAACCCGAAACCTTTACTAATCCTTGCTATTTGGCTCGCTCTAGAAACTAACTTAAGTATCCAACACCACTAGACACAAATGCTCCCGCATCGCTATTAAGCTCCTTGAAGCTATCAATGATAGGTGCCCAGCTTTTTAGATAAAGTGAAAAAAAAAACTGTTCCACCTTTCAGAGTCGGTTGACCCAACGCGTATTCATTTCTCTTCGAAACCCTTCTCAAGTCTCTTGCAAAGGATGACTTGAAGTTGCGCTGTGATTGTGAACACACTCTGGTTGCATTCCCCTCAACTTACACTTTTGTCTGTGCTGGTGTCGTGAAGATCCGTGCTAAATCTGCAGCTCTGGTGATGTGCGGTGCTATGAGTCGAGTTGGAATACAAACATGTTCTTATAAAAGCACAGATGGACACTACCTCAATCAGATTTGCATACCACCCTCGTCGAAGAAATCGAGTATTGGACTCAGGGGTAGCCTTGAGCCGCGTTGCGTGGCAGAGTAAGTTGCTTTTGAAACCTAAAAAGTGTTCAGGATGTCTGCTACAACCTTTCAAAAAAGTAGATGTCCCAACTGGCATTGCGAGATTCCTTGTGCACATGAAAAACATATATGTATATATATATATAAGTATGTATATATGTAAACACTTTGTACATATCGTCTGAATGTATAAAGGTATGTACTTACGTACGTACGTAGGTATGTATGTCTGTGTATGTATGTGTGTATGTAAGTATTTTTTTCTCCTAAAGTTCTCTTTTCTGCCTGTCTCGATGGCTCTTTGGCCTTGGTTGCCGCGCCAGCGCCAGCTGCAGGCCGCCTCTTGTACGGTTCGGTGAGGATGTCGTTGCCTTCAGAAGAAATCCACTTCGATGGATTCTTCTTGCTCGTCCATTATGGGCGACTGCCGCTGTGGTGGGTTGCGCGGCTGTTGTGGGCTGTGTGGCTGGGTTTCATGGCCTGTAGCCCTGAGTCTGGTGGTGCTCTCAAGGAGAGTCGCCGAGGCATACGCCTGTGAGGCAGGCTCGGGGCCTTCAGGCCTAGCCGTGCTCTTTGGTGACTGGTGCTGTCCTGCGTCAAGGCTGGGTTTCATGGCCAGTGCAGGATGTCGTTGATCTTCTGCCTGAGTTAGTGGTGTTGCAAAATGCAACCTCCTTGGTGTTGGGTGGTTGCCTCCTTCAGTCATAGGAGCGGCATTCTGTTGTGTGTGGGTGTTCTCCGCACCTGTTTGCCGTGCAAAGAAGTCGGTTAGAGGCGGTGTGCCTGCTGAAGCTGCCCCTTTGCAGGGTCTCTTGATACTGGCAGTTAGTATCACTCTTTGTTGGCCATCCAAGTGCAAGGACAGTCCGCATTGTGTGCAGGTGACCTTGCTGCCCTTTTGCCAAAGAGCATGACTTTGGTGGCCTTCATGGCTATGTGGGTAGGGCTGGTCCAAACAGCTGCTAGTGAGAAAGCTGTGAAAGGTGGTTTCATTGCTTCTCTTGTGAATGCTGGTGCCGCATTTGACACAACGAAGATAGCCAGTCGTCTCTTCCAGCTCATGCTGTGTCTGTTCAACCGCCTGGGCTTGTTGCTGCTGGAGCAGTTGTTGGATGACTTGCTGGCGGGTCTTCTTCTTGGGCATGGGCACGTGTGGACTGGCCGGTTCGGCAATGTTTTCCTCAATGCTGAGTTGAGGACAGGGTTCCTGGAGCCTCTCTTCGATCACACCTACTGTCAAGGCTTGGTGCACTCGGATCCCACATGCCCCACATTGGTATCCACTGCGGTGAGGTGCCCATCGGGGTGCAGGGGTGTGAGCCATGGTTTGTTGCACCTGCCTATGAGCTGCTTCTTGTACTGCTTGGTGTGCTTGCCCTGGTGTCTATCTGGTTTTTGATGCAGGTAGTGGTCTTTGTCCTTGTAGATCCTGGCAAGTCTTTCAATGGCGTGCTGGTATATGAGCTTGGCATCCTCATCAACAACTTGCTGCCATTCGGTTCGTTTGCTGCTTTGAAACTCTTTTGCTCGCTCCCAAGCTGTCAAAGCTGCATCCCGTTGTCTCCTTCTCAATTGTGGCTCACTGCCGGGTGCTTCAGGTGATCTTGTGTTTCTGGAGACATAAAGCACGGTGACTCTGTTGAAATCCTGGTCTGTGACCTGTTCCAGGATGTCGAGGAAGGGTCCTCTGTGCTTGGGATTTGTCCAGGCTTCCCATACCGAAACCAACTGTACAATGACTCGTACAGTCGTTGTGGTATGTTTGGTCAGGGCGACAAGTCCTTCCATCAGGGCCCTTGCTTTGGTATGGGGTGTGACAGTTGTGCCAGTGATGGCTCCCAGCCGTTGAAGTTGGCCCATGCTGAGGCTGTGAACGCAAAGCCCAAACACCCAAATTTGATCACGTGCATCATAGCTGGTTGGGGTGGCATCGAGCGTGAAGGCCCAACCTTGGTATTGGTGCATGGCAAGTGGCGCCAGCTCACGCCAGGCCCCATGGCCTTGGTAAGGGTGTCTGATGCGCTTATGGTCTTGTGGTTCCAAGGGTAGCCATCCCGCCGACCACAGTGGTGTTTCATCATCCGTGAGAATGCGTTCTGCCCACTCGGAGGGCATGGGCTGGTGGTGTTGGGTCTGATGCCATTTGCATAGCCATAGGATATGCTTGGCAGTGGCGGGTACGCTGCAGATTGGGCACTGTTTGGGTTTCCCAGCTTCTTTGTAGTGTATGCCTCCTTGGGTCCAGGTGCGGAGATACGTCTTTTGATCTTGGCAGCTCTTTGATGACCTTTCGGTAGGTGTGCCAGTCAATCCCTGTCACCAGATGGTGGTGATTTTCTTTGGAAGCAAATCTGGCCGTTCTTTGTGCTGTAGCCTCCTGAAGAAGAGCTCTTTCCAGCTTCCACCAAGGGTCTTGGATGCTGATCTCAGCTTCTAGGAGAAACCGGCTGGCTGGTCGGTGCCATCTGGTGAGCTGTTGAACATTCCATTGCCATTCAAGCAGGTACGCAACGCCGGCTGCCATGGGGCCACGAACGACATACCAGGGGCACTGTCTCTGCTGCAGCTGGTCATGCACCTCTGTCCAAGCCTGCTCAAAATGCTGGAGCTGGTCGGTGGGCCAGGTGTGGTAGAGTTGGTGCAGGGCTTTGATGTGGTGCAAAATGACCTGGTCACCTGGGTCAATGTATTTGTTGCTGTGCAGGTCATAGGTGCAATCTAGCAGTCCCCCAGCATGATGGCCTAGGTGCGTGGCTAGTGCCTGTCGGAGTGCGGTTCTGTATCTGGGCGCCAGTCCTTGTGCTTCAGTGCCCCAGAGCGCCACAGGTTGTATGCCCCCTTTTTGAAGTCTGAGTCTGATTTTCAAAGCCGGTATCTTCAAGGTTCTGAGTTTGAGGCGCCTCTGCTTGGCCTTTTGAAACCTCTGCCTGAGGACTGGAATGCGGCGACGTCGGCGACGTCTGCCTGCCTGGTGATCAATGCCAAGATCTCTCATCACCGTTGAGATGGGTGGTTCATGCTCTTGA